ATTTCTCTCATACTTAAGTGATTAGTGTACCATCATTTCTCTCATACTTAAGTGATTAGTGTACCATCATTTCTCTCATACTTAAGTGATTAGTGTACCATCATTTCTCTCATACTTAAGTGATTAGTGTACCATCATTTCTCTCATACTTAAGTGATTAGTGTACCATCATTTCTCTCATACATAAGTGACTAGATGACCAGCATTTATCTCATACTTAAGTGATTAGTGTACCATCATTTCTCTCATACATAAGTGACTAGATGACCAGCATTTCTCTCATACATAAGTGACTAGATGACCAGCATTTATCTCATACATAAGTGACTAGATGACCAGCATTTATCTCATAAATAAGTGATTGGGAGGGGGGAAGGGGTTGGGGTGGGGGGGTGGTGGGCATTTTTAAAATAAAATGAAACATATTTTTAAGGCCCAGCTTGACTAAATTCCATCGAAGTTTAATGGGTCAAAGGAAATAGAGGAAATGGAATTCTTGTCGACAAACAAGTAGTTTGATAAATAAGAATCAACCACGTGATCTCCAGCATGTTTCCAGCATGTCTCCAACATGTCTCCCGCATGTCTCCAGCATGTCTCCAGCATATCTGCAGCATGTTAACCAGCATGTCTCCAGCATGACTCCAGCATGTCTCCAGCATGTCTCCAGCATGTCTCCAGCGTGTCTCCAGCAGGTGCTACATTCGCCCCTTACAAAATCTACAATGAAGTTATCTTGATGCAAGATGTGCGAGCAAAATGAATGTATCGTGGAGCATTTTTGTTGTAGTAGGAGCCAGACTTTTTGTATAGGAATATGTGGTTTAGATACTGGTTGACCAGACGTCATCTTTTCGATCACTGTCTACCTTTCCAGTACGGCGGAATTAAAAAAAATAAATAAAAGGCATAACCTTGTTACTGGGCACAACTGTGTTACTGGGCATAACCTTGTTACTGGGCACAACTGTGATAATGGGCATAACCTTGTTACTGGGCATAACTGTGTTACTGGACATAACCTTGTTACTGGGCACAACTGTGTTCTTGTGCATAAACTTGTTACTGGGCATAACTGTGATAATGGGCATAAACTTGTTACTGGGCATAACTGTGATAATGGGCATAAACTTGTTACTGGGCATAACTGTGATAATGGGCATAAACTTGTTACTGGGCATAACTGTGTTACTGGACATAACCTTGTTACTGGGCACAACTGTGTTCTTGTGCATAAACTTGTTACTGGGCATAACTGTGATAATGGGCATAAACTTGTTACTGGGCATAACAGTGATAATGGGCATAAACTTGTTACTGGGCATAACTGTGATAATGGGCATAAACTTGCTACCGGGCATAATTGTTACTGGGCATAACCTTGTTACCGGGCATAACTGTGTAACTGGTAATTTCTTGTTTAAACCTCTCACGGAATTGTTCTGTAAACTTGTACACACTCGGCCAACATCCACCTACTGTGTACACACTCGGCCCACATCCACCTCCTGTGTACACACTCGGCCCACATCCACCTCCTGTGTACACACTCGGCCCACATCCATCTCATATGTACACACTCGGCCCACATGCACCGCCCGTGTACACACTCGGTCCACATCCATCTCCTGTGTTCACACTTGGTCCACATCCACCTCCTGTGTACACACTCGGCCCACATCCACCTCATGTGTACACACTCGGCCCACATGCACCGCCCGTGTACACACTCGGTCCACATCCACCTCCTGTGTTCACACTTGGTCCACATCCACCTCCTGTGTACACACTCGGTCCACCTCCACCTCCTGTGTACACACTCGGTCCACTTCCACCTCCTGTGTACACACTCGGTCCACATCTACCTCCTGTGTACACACTTGGTCCACATCCACCTCCTGTTCCGTTTGAATGAAATCATGGTAAACTAATGAGATAATTACGCCCCTAAATATAAAGAAAAAATACCGCCATGGGAAGTACCGCCCTCTCTCAACACCCCCCCTCCCCTTCCTACGCCTCTGACTGGATAAGGCGAAAGGGAAACATCCGGAAAGTGTAATAAAACATTTCTCTTGTGACTTGACTATGAAATTTGAAATAATACTATTTTATATTCCACAGGTGAGACGTGGACGTTTGTCAAGAAAATAGATTTATCAAGTTTTCGCCCTGCCCGATTGCAGCTTTATTACCATGTCAACCCCCAATGACCCCTACATTGCCATAACAACCACCAGTGATCATTCAATTACAAGGGCATCCTCCAATGTACCCTCCAATGCCATGACAACAAACCATGAACCCTGCATAGCCATGACAACCTCCATCGAGCCCTCCGTCGCCATGGAAGCCACCAATGAACCTTCCATTGCCGCGACAACCACCGAGGAGCCCTCCACATCGTCTGACGAAGCAACCAACAATGTCACCCAAAGAAAGACGGTTCAAGACTTTAATGAATTTTTAAGCACGTTCACGTCGGACGACGGCATCCCTTTCACCAACGGCTTCGCGATGCTAATGTGGAAGACGTTGGGGAAGAAAAATGATATAACCGCTAAAAAACTGCTGGCCATTGTCAAGGAGAAAGGCATGCAGTGTTCGAAAAGTGGACTCGTCTACCGATTGAAACTCCTGCAGAGGACAGTCTTCATGAGCCAGAAAAACATCACCGTGGAGTGGTCTAGAATAACGAACATGATGAACGAGATGTTCACACTGCCGAAGAAAAGGACCACACCCGGAACGGATGAAGCCACGACGGACACGACAGCCGAGATGGACGACTTCACTGATGACGACGAGCTGACCGATGATTTTTTAAACTCATTCTTTCGTAGCGCAGAAGATAGAAAGTATGCCACTCGCTCCACGACACCAGCCCCGCATGATTTCGATTCTTCTACTTTTGATTTTTGTGACAGCGACTCCGCTACCGTGGATTACAAATTTCCCGGCTCTTCTAATGGGAATGTTTCGGCTCCGGGGGATCTCTCGTCGGTGGTTGCTGACGGCTGTTCTTACTTTGATGAGTGTTCTGACAATGCTGTCTCGGACGATTTTTTTTATTCATTCTTTCGTAGAAACGATGTCACACACCCTTCTACGTTGGACTTGAAATGTGGCGTCAGCTCTCCCGGTCTTGGTAACGGTGCAGATCGTGCGTCTGCGCGTGCCGATACCACTGCCGAAGTTCCTGCTGGCAGCTCTCCTAAACTCGACGAATCAACCGATAGCGCCCAAGAGGTGGATACATCTTCTTCGGAGTTCTCTCCTAGAGTGGATGCTGCAGACTCACCTGCCTGTAGCAGGGTCGACTCTACTATTGATTACAAAACAGATGACCCAGCTACAATGAAAGATTGTATAACTGAAGATCCTACATCGGATTATTCACCTGGCTCTACCTGTCGTATCTTCTGACCATCCTACATTTGGCGCACGTTCTCGCTGTAGCAGTTTGTAGCAGAATTGTCGGCTTGCATTTAACATTTGTATATTATTTATATATACGGCTAATTTAACAAAAATAGCTTTAGGTAACTGCAAAAATGCTATAACTTGTATTAACAAACAATCTAGAAACCAAAATATTATTGTTGCCATTGTATTTATTCTACAACAGTCGCTGCAGTGAACTTCGAATGGGAACATACAAGGGGTTCAAATTATTTTATCCGCTAAGAGGAAGCACTATCATTAAAATATGTCATAATATAATGCATTAATTTCTACAATGTTCCTTCTTTTTTTTTTTAATGTACATTTAATTTCTTTTACAGACGTATACATTATACAATCAATCTACGTCATTCTGGGGCTCACCGCCTACACATTTGATCCTCACCGCCTACACATTTGATCCTCACCGCCTACACATTTGATCCTCACCGCCTACACATTTGATCCTCACCGCCTACACATTTGATCCTCACCGCCTACACATTTGATCCTCACCGCCTACACATTTGATCCTCACCGCCTACACATTTGATCCTCACCGCCTACACATTTGATCCTCACCGCCTACACATTTGATCCTCACCGCCTACACATTTGATCCTCACCGCCTACACATTTGATCCTCACCGCCTACACATTTGATCCTCACCGCCTACACATTTGATCCTCACCGCCTACACATTTGATCCTCATTTTATCAGATCCATACAATTTTATTTTATTTTTTTAAATGGTGCATTGCCAATCAAATGAAAGTCTGCTTTAGACGTGCCATATTTTGTTTACTTGTGACTGCAGTGACTAGAACCCACTTTGCACTTGTGCCATGAGTTGCTTTGTTAAATATTATCACTTGGTTTCATCTCATTTTTCAGATTGTCAAGATTTAAAAAAACCAAAACAATCGTTGTTGCCCCCTTTGCACTGAACAGCTCCTGGCATTTTACAGCACCATATAAGTACCAGGCGTTTAAACACTGGCATTATAGCAGTACCAGGCGTTTAAACACCTAGATTATAAAAATAACAGGCGTTTAAACACTGAGATTATAACAGTACTAGGCGTTTAAACACTGAGGTTATAACAGTACCAGGCGTTTGAACACTGAGATTATAACAGTAACAGGCATTTAATCCCTGAGATTATATTCATTCCAGGTACTTTAACAGTGTGACTATAACAATACCATGTGGGTACTCATGATTATCGCCAGAAACTTTCGTTTCCTAGTCTGCACTTGACAACATTGACAAGTATTCTTTTTGTTTCCCCCATGTTACCAGAAGCAGAGTCGCTAAGTTTAAACTTAACACAGACAGATCGCTAAGTTTAAACTTCACACAGACAGACAACACCAATTATTCGAGTTAAGTCAACAAGATTTAGACAACATTATTATATGTCTGTCTTTTTAACAGCATTGTCTTCATTTATTTTCTTGATGGGTAGCACACAATTTTAGAGGGATCTCTCCATGCGTTATTTTATTTAACTTCATGGCTTTATAATATCATAATTATTTCGCAAGTTTAGAAATTTTTTAGTTTAAACATTGTTGCAAAGGGTATTTTTTTTATAAAACGTTTAATTTTTACATTTTATTTTAGATACATGCATATTTTTTTTTAATTGTCTACTTTTTATTTAAAATTGTTCACGACAGGTTCATTAAAGACTTTCGACCAAATGGCTGTTTGTTTCACTATCGTATTCAAAAAGTAGTCTTAATTTCTTAATTTTTTAAAAATTTGTAATTAATAATTAAAGAAGACATCTACTGTGTATACAAGCTGATGAAGGCCCTGTTATCTAAACTTGTGACTGTCTTATTGATTAAGTGTGTGACTGTCTTATTGATTAAGTGTGTGACTGTCTTATTGATTAAGTGTGTGACTGTCTTATTGATTGAGTGTGTGACTGTCTTATTGATTGTGTGACTGTCTTATTGATTGAGTGTGTGACTGTCTTATTGATTGTGTGACTGTCTTATTGATTGAGTGTGTGACTGTCTTATTGATTGTGTGACTGTCTTATTGATTGAGTGTGTGACTGTCTTATTGATTGAGTGTGTGACTGTCTTATTGATTGAGTGTGTGACTGTCTTATTGATTGTGTGACTGTCTTATTGATTGAGTGTGTGACTGTCTTATTGATTGTGTGACTGTCTTATTGATTGAGTGTGTGACTGTCTTATTGATTGTGTGACTGTCTTATTGATTGAGTGTGTGACTGTCTTATTGATTGTGTGACTGTCTTATTGATTGAGTGTGTGACTGTCTTATTGATTGTGTGACTGTCTTATTGATTGAGTGTGTGACTGTCTTATTGATTGATTGTGTGACTGTCTTATTAATTGAGTGTGTGACTGTCTTATTGATTGAGTGTGTGACTGTCTTATTGATTGAGTGTGTGACTGCCTGATGAACTCTCAGTCTTTGGCGAACTCATTTTAAGGTCCCTAAAATACTAATCAACCTTTATAAACAGTCTATTAGAATATATATATAACCCAATCAGAAGTCTGCCATAATATATCGAACTTTGTAGTAGAGCGCATCAAAAAGAATGTATCAATCTCTAACAAAAGCTTATTAGATACATTTTTCATAGCATTGTCATTATTCATCTTGATAACCACGTCGTGACGCCAATTTGTCTTAGCTTTTTATTGCCCCAAAGTGTCAACTAATCTCATTCTGTCTGAAATGGAGGCTCAACACATTCCAGGTCACTTAGAAAGAATGCCCAAATGACAGAGGGGTGAAGAGGGTGCACCACCAAAACCCCAGAGGAAAACGGCTCAAAGGCAGACCTGGGCGTAGATGGATGGATGATGTGGAAAAAGATTTACAGCAACTGCGAATCCAAGCATGGAAAAGAAAAGCATCAGTTAGGTATGTGTGGAAGGACGTGAAGACGCAGGCCTAAGCCCTACATGGGCTGTAGCGCCACAGGGATGGATGGATGGAAGTAGTGAGGCAAGCCAAAGCCCTTCATGGGCTGTAGCGCCACAGGAAAGAATAATTTGGATACTTGAAATTCCCACAAACATCGTATCGAAGCACAGGTATTCAGCTAGTGTCAAATAAGTCTGACGTCCAATTTACGCGTATATGCTTAGACCCATGTGAGGAAGATTTTCGCTCTTCCCATTTTATATTTCTTTAATCCCTTTGCAAGGAAGGAAGCATTGTGCTCTTACCATCGTGTTTATGCTTAGGGTTCTTCTCCCCCATTCCCCAATGTGGGCTTAACTTTAAAAATTCCAATTTTCCAGCTTTGCTATAGCTCTTCTATACGTATTTTGTTGTGAAGGTATTCCTCCAAGGGTGAATTTACGGCAAGATCAAGTTAAGTTTGTTTTGTTGTTTTAAATTTACTCGAGATCCGCTAAATGCATTTCTTGTCCCATTTTGTTAGCGGTCCTTGTTTTACAATCTGTTTCTTACAAAAACTTCATCACTTCCTTTGCTTTCCCGGTGACGAAGTTTCAAGCCCCCCAAAAAATGGTCTTAAGAATAAATTGCATTCAATGAATTCAAGTCTCAGCATATTTAACGAATTTATGGTAAAAATTAAATAACTTAAGATGTTCATCTTTCAATCATTGACACTTATTTAGTTTTAATATATAAAACAATTAATCAACATCCCTAGTGTTAAATTTCTGCTCATAATATTGATGGCCACAGACGCGGGTTTCGGAGAAAAGAAATTTTTCGCTGTTAAACTTCAGATTTATAATTGAACTAACCAAGGAATTGAAGGAAAAGTTCTTGATTTATAGATTACTAGATAGAGCCATAGCCCATTTATCTAGTACTAGATAGAGCCATAGCCCGCCCAACATTGGCGTGAACTTCCCATCTAGTCAAGTTACTTGACAAAACATGAACTCAAGTAACCCACATTTAGAAATCCCAATTTTTGCTAAACCCCTCCCCCATGATACGTCACTGGACACATTTATTTCACGCACATGAACTATATTAAATATTATGATGTACCAACCACTTTTAAACCCAACAATTTGTTTACACAATACTTAAATTGATTGAGACGATTTCATTTTCCGAAAAGAAAATATTACGCACCAAACGCAGTTGCGTTAAATAAATAAATATTTTTTTTAAAAAGTATCATTTAACGTATTTTTTGGGACTTATATTTTGCGCGCTATTGAACTCATTATTGAACCACACTTTCTTCCAAACATTTATAATTATTTGTTATATACTCTTTCTTGCTTTTTTCTTTCTTATATTTGAGGGCCCACGATCAATTCGTTGATCATTCTGGCTCTTTGTTTGCCGTCCAGAGCTAACGAGTCCCATCCACCAGGGGTGCTTGGGATGTTGGCTTTGGTGTGGATTGAACTCCAGACCACCAGCTATATGGTTTGATTCAGTTTAGACTGCTCGGCCACCCAGCACTCACAGTAACTAGGTTAAGTGCCCCCCCCCCCCCCCCCCCCCCCCCCCCCCCCCCCCCCCCCGAGGGGCAGGTGAAACTTTTTGCCGTCCCTTTCCACGACAAAATAATTCAGCAGTTAGACGAGAAAATTCCATGCTTCAATATAAAGAAAAGAAAATGCCACCCCGGGGAGTACAGCTCCCTCTCGACCCCCTTTCTACGCCACTGACTGGATAGGTGAAAGCAAAACATGAGGAAATTGTATTTTAATCAACAAGTATTTCTTGAGACCCGATTATCGTATTGAAAATAATAATATTTTATTTTCCACAGGTGAGACTTGGAC